TGCAAAGCAAATAAAGTGTTGAGAAAAGAACATTCCATACACATAAGGAGGTCACTTTCCAACAGATTACAATGCCACCAATAGAGAAGGATATATATATTTAGAGAGAACTCACTCAACCGGAGAGTTATTACATATAGAAGACAAACTTCTAGGAAACACACGTCACCAAGGCTTATACATGAAGGAACACACAAGAGAAATGTATGTGGCCAGGGCACAAACATGTAGGGTACATACAAAGAGAACAAACATGGCCAGGGTGGGCATGTGTCTAGGGCAGCTCACACATCCTCAAGTGCAGAGCTGCTAATGGTGCTTCTGGTGATGACATTGTACTGCTCTCTGCTGGGCATTTCAGTTGCATGTCACATCTCACTTTTCTGGGTATCATATTGCCTCTTCTAGATGTTCCTCCTGGTTCTCATGGTTGACAGATTGTTCTCTGCTACCATCCACTGAGAAGTAGCTAGAAATCTTCTCCTTGATGTGGGCAGGCTAACTGCTCTTTTTAGTGTGTGAACAAAGTTTTGAGTCACTGAACCCAACTACAGATGCTAGCAAAGCACCGGCAGAATGAGCACAGACTCAAACCAAATTTTTTCTTTCAGTGCTTTTGTCTGCTGCTAATTTGAAATCCACAGTCCCAGTGCATAATAGATAATTAGAATTTTCCTAATTTGAGTTGTATTGTTGAGTAGATTCAGACCAGGCTAAATAATTGGTCTCAAAAAGTAATGATTAATGGTTCAACGTCAACCGATATGGTAGAGTTCATAAGGGATTTGTCTAGTCTGTTAAACATCATCATCAATAACTTAGATGATAGAAGAAATGGCATGCTTTTCAAATTAGCAGGTTACAGAAAGCTGAGCATTTCAGATGACACATTGGAAGACAGAATACAAAAATACCTTGACTCTCTAGAACAACAGACAAAATCTAATAGGCTGAAATTTATTAGTAATAAATATAAAATCTTCACAGCAATTAAAAAAAGCTGCACAAATAGGAGATGGGGAAGTTGTGGCTTGCTGGTAGTTCTTATGAAAGAAACTTCAGTGGTTTATTGAATCAACTGTATGAAATGGCAACAAAATAATAATAATAATAATAATAATATACTCTTCAATTGTGTTAATAACTATTTGTATCACAGGTGTAACGGAGTGCTTTGGGCTGCAGAGGTAGAAAAGACCATAGTTAGCACCTTGTGCTATGTCGGCCTGGAGAGAGATGCACTGTGGCTGATCATTCTGGCACTTCATCAGGTATTTAAGAGACTCCCTTTTGTCAGTGACTGGGATAGAGCCATCTGAGTGACCCAGTGAGTAAATTGGCAACAAGGTCAGAAGAAGACCAGGAGGATTGCAGGTGCAAAATGAAAAAATAGACAGTGCTAGAAGCTGTTAATAATAACAGCTAATATTTATATAGTACTATAAGTTCTATAAAATGTTTAACAAACATTACCTCACTTGATCCTCCCAATAACATTGTGAGGTATGTGCTATAGATATAATTTTCCCCATTCTACAAATAATGGAACTGAAGTCCTACAAGGTTATTGAATTGTCATTGGTCACACAACTAGTAAGTGTCAGAAGCAAGCCTTGAACCAAAGCCTATCCTAACTCCATGAGGGCATCTAGGTGGCGCACTGGCCTTGGAACCAGGAAGACTCATCTTCATGAATTCAAATCTAGCCTCAGATACTTCCTATCTGTGTGACCCTGGACAAGTCACTTAACCCTGTTTACCTCAGTTTCCTCATCTTTAAAATGAACTGGAGAAGGAAATGGCAAACCACTCCAGTATCTTTGCCAAGAAAACCCCAAATGGGGTCACAATTGAAATGACTAAACAATAACAACAACCATATGCTATAGGCATGGCTCTAATGCCAGCCCCACTTAGTTCAGGTTTGATGTTGGAACAAAAAGAGGTACTCACAAGTTATTGAACATTGAACAAAGAGGATGGTTTACTTTGGCCTTACACACCATGACACTTAGTTTCTCTGGATGTAGTGCCTGTTGTCTCCATCTGGAAATACAACTGGTCAACAACTCAACAGAAAGGGTAGAGTATGTAAACTCCTGTGGTCTCAGCCACCTACCAAGTCTGAGAGACCCTGACTACATGTGGATAGGACTTTTAATGGCCCCAGACCAGGAAGCTGCATCAGGCAATCTGAGGCCATCAGGGAAACTGTATCAGGAAAATGCTGGTCCTTTCACACTCTCTTTGAGTTTGTTTTGGGCTGTGACTCATCATGCATGAGATAGAACTAGGGCTGACAGGATCAGTGTCCATGAGGGAAGTGAGAGTGATGTGATCCAATCTTGGCAATGGATAAGGATGGCTCACCTTATGAGACAAGAGGAAAAGAAGGTCAGCCTGTGAAGACACTGAAAAGTGTTGAAGAGTCAAGGAGGGGAAATGAACTTGTCAGTTCGAGGCAGTGTGAAGGGTAGGGCTGGGACCAGGAAGGAAGAGAAGAAATATGGATCAGATCCCTGAGTATAGGGATAAGGAATCAAAAAGAATAAAGTATAAAAATTGCCAGACAACAGTAAGGGACCCAGTTGAGGTTAAGCACCCAAAAATTTCTCCAGCAGCTCGAGTAGGAATGTATCAGTCAAATGGTGGCTATTACTCCAGAATGAAGATTAGTCGAGTAGGAATGGCAGATCTGGCTTGTGACTAGTGAAACATGGCACCAATTGACCCTGAGTTGGTCAAGAACCAGGTATGGAGATTCACTTACCATCTCTACACAGAAAATTCCTCAGTACTGTCCAACTCTAATCTCTCTCCGAGCTCCAATCTCACATCACCAGCTTGTTGGCTGGACATCATATATACATATATATGTGTGTGTGTGTGTGTGTGTGTGTGTGTGTGTGTGTGTGTATGTATATATATATATATACATACACATACATACACATATATACATATATGTGTGTGAGAGTGTGTGTGGGTATGTGTATATATACGCATACATACATATATGTGTATATGTATATGTGTATGTGTGTATCCCAACTTACAATGTCCAAAATAGAACTCGTTGTCTTCCTCTCTAAACCCAGCCCTCCTTAAACTTCCCTATTCATATGGAGGGCAACCACTATTCTTTCATCACCCACATTTACAACTATAATGTCATGCTTGACTCTCACCTCTCCTTCATCCCCATAGCCAATTAGTTGTGATGTTTTGTCTATCCTACCTCCATGTTATTCTTGTATATGTCCCTTTTCTTCACTCACATGATCACTCTACTAGTTCAGACCTGCATCATCCCTTACCTAGACTATTGCAATAGCCTCCTAGTTGGTCTCTCTGTTTTCAAACCCATCTTTCTCCCAAATTCCCCACATGGTGCTGCCCAAAAAAATCTTCCTAAGACATGGGTCTGGCCATGTTACTCCCCTGTTCCATCTTTTGGGAGTCCCCATTTCCTCTAGGATAAAATACAATCTCCTGAGCTTGACATTTAAAGCCCTCCACTGTCTGGAGCCAAACTATTTCATGTCATATTCATGAATTCTACTTTCCAGCCATACTGGCCTAATTTCCTCAAATTTGGTATTGCATGCAGTTCACACAGGCTGCCTCCAAAGCCTACAATGTCTTCTAATTCCTAGCTTCCATCAAGGTTGCTAAAGCGGTGCAGTAAATTAAATGCTGTACTTGGAGACAAGAAAACCTGAGTTCAAATCCTGCAACAGACATTGGTTGGGTGACCCTGGACAAGTCAATTGACCTCTTGGAGCCTCAGTTTCTTCATCTGTAAAATGGAGATATTGACAGCTTTTACCTCAAAGGATTATTGTGAGGAGCAAATAAGGGGAGGGGAGGAAACAAGTATTTATCAAGTATCTACCATGTGCCAGGTACTGTGCTAGGCACTTCATAAATATTTTCTCATTTGATCCTCACAACAACTCCTGTTATTTTCCTTTTACAGTTGAGGAAACTGAGGCAGAGAGAGGTGAAATGACTTGCCTAGGCCTTCACAACTGGGAAGTGTCTGAGGCCAGATTTTAATTCAATTCTTTCTGATTCCAGCCCTAGCACTCTATCTACCATGCCACCTAATATATGTTTGCTTTGCAAAACTTAGGGTGATATAAAAATGCTATTATTATCATCAAGGTCCAGTGCATAATCCATTCTCTGGGAAAACTTTCTTGTTGTCCTGAGTTATTTGTTTCCTTCTTTCTCAAAATATCATGTGTACACGTACCTGTTGGTTCCCCGAACAGAATGTAAGCTCCTTGAGGGCAAGGACTATATGTTATTTTATCTTTGTATCTCCAGCAGCTAATAGTCCCTTGAACATAAGAGCCATTTAATAAATATTTGTTGGATTGGGTTGTTTTGATTGACTGGGGATGAGGCGACACCCCTGGAGACACTGTCCAGACAGCCCTGCCTGACCCTACCTGTACATCTTGGTGCTGACCATCCAGGCCCCTCTTAACTAGCCACAGACTACTGGGGACAAAGTTTGGGAGGCAGAAAGGGGGACTCGCAGGATGCCTGTCTGAATGTCTGAGGACCCGCGTATCAGAGACATCTGAGGCCCAAGGATCCAAGCCCACTCTAACACAGTGAAAAGACTGTTGGGTTTAGAGCCAAGCGACCGAGGTTCAAATCCCATCTCTGCCACTCATTGCCAGTGTAAGCTACCACAATTCATTTGATCTCTCTGAAGTTTCCTCCTAGGCTTGTTTCTAACTAAATCTAGGATCCAATGATCTCTTGCAATCAGGCCAGGTACTTGAAGGAACGTGATTTTCAGATCCTCCCCCCAAACAAATGCCCCCTTCATGTTGCTCTCGCCATCCCCATCACCACCACCTCCTCAAACTGAAGCCAGTGGCAGGCTGGAATAGAGAGGGACTTAGAGGGGAGGGGAAAAAGGAAGGGAGAGGATGGTTGCCAAGGCTGGGGTTGCCAGGCAACCAAGTCAACAGTATCAAAAGCCTGAGCCTCTGACCAAGGAGGGACGAGGCTTCCCACAGAACAGACCGAAAGACAAAACGGCAGGTAAGGGACAAAAGGACCGGTCTGGGGGTCAGCAGGAAAGGAACTTATGCCCCATAGATTTTGCGGAAGAGGGGTTAGGGAAGAGTCTTGGTCTCCTCTTGATACTGCCACCCCCACACTGCCCAAGCCCAAGACAAGTCAGGCTATGTCAACCCAGACTCAGCATGAGGTTTCTCCTCCCTTACCCAGAGTCCACAGGGATAGCCACCACTCACCCCAAGACCTCCAGATTCCTTCTCAAATCATCTATTCCCACAGCCACAGGCCCACAGGCCTCAGGGACTCTCCCTGCCCCTCAACCTCAGGGACACTTGGGACATTCCTGTTCCTTTGAGCCCCATCTAAACTCTGTCCTTCTAGCAATCCTGCATTCTTTTCTATTCTCTGCCCCCTCTAACAAGAGGCAGCAAAGAGTCACAGAGTGATGGCTTTTGATTCAGGAAGGTCTAGGTTTTCAATTTGCCTCTAACACTTACTAGCTCTGTGGTGCTGGACAAGCCATCTAATCTCCTAAGCCTCATTTTCCTAATCTGTAAAATGGGAATAATAATAGTTATAGCACCTACCTCACAGAGCTGTTGTGAGATGTTTTGTAAGCTTAAAAGTGTTTAGGAAGGTCAGTCCTTATTGCCACTCCATCCTTCTTAACGTAGGGGTCCTCATTTTAATGCCATCTTCTCTATGCCTCTGTGCTTCCCAGAACATCCTCCTTCCTATTACTCCAGCTTTCCTATCGCATATCCTCCCAAAAATGACATCCTTGGGACTTCACTTCCTGCCAGCCCCTCTCATGTGAGATGGCGTATGCTAGTTTTTTTTAAACTCCTTTCTCCCCTCCAAACACTCCAAATAATCTAGTAATAATGGCCTTTTTGCTATTTCTTGCACAGGACATTTTTTCTGGCTGTCCTCCATGTACGGAACTCTTTCCCTCTTCATCTCTGTCCCCTGGCTTTCTTAAATCTCAGCTAAAGTCCTACCTTCTACAGAGGCCTTTCCCAGTCCTCCTTAATCTTAGTGACTACCCTATGAGATTATCTCCGATTTACCACATATATGAATATATGTCAGGGCAGCTAGTTGGCACAGTAGATAGAGCACAGGCTCTGAAGTCAGGAAGACCTAAGTTCAAATGTGACCTCAGATATTTACTAGCTGTGTGACCCTGGGCAAGTCACTTAATCCTGTTTGTCTCAGCTTCCTCATCTGTAAAATGAGCTGGAGAAGGAAATGACAAATGAGTCCAGTATCTTTGCCAAGAAAATCCCAAATGGGGTCACAAAGAGTCAGACATGACTGAAACAACTGAACAACAACAATGAATACGTGTATATGTGTGTGTGTGTGTGTGTGTAGCAAATATACCATAGATATGATATGTATGTATATATAATACTGTTTATACATAGCTGTTGGCATGTTGTCTTCCGCTTAGACTATGCCCTTCTCAAGAGGTATATTTGGCCTGTCTTTGCAGCCCCAGCACTTAGTATAATTCCTATCACATAATTATTAATAAATCTAGTTGACTGACTATGCAAAAATCTCGTTTGGTCTTTTCAGTAGCCGATGCTGCTGCCATGGATACAAAACAATCCACCCTAAACTGCTAGTTCCCTTCCACAGTGACAGGGTTATCTGAGATTCCAACACCTTGTTTGGAAGCAAGTGTGTCTATATCTGGCCAGTGACCTTGACACCCCCTCCCCCTATGTCTATGACCTCATCCCAGAACACCATTTTTTCAACAGATACCAAGAAGATCCCAGAAGCCCATGCATGATTCAGATGCACAGTACTGGACGGAATCTAATCTCAGAGCTTTTCATCATCGCTAACTCCATATTGACTTCACAGGAAGGAGAGGCAGTAGGGAGGAGCAGGAAGAGCTCTAACGATCAGGGGATAGCCCTATCCCCATGTACCATCCCTGTTCCACACTCATTATAACTAGGTGGTGCAGCAGATAGAGCACTGGGTCTAGAATTGGGAAGACCTAAGATCAAATAGGGCCTCAGACACCCACAAGCTGTGTGACCCTGGGAAGGGAGCTCACAATCTAATATGATAATAATAGTACCTACTTCACAGTGCTTCTGTGAGGATCAAATTAGATATCTATAAAGCACTTAGCAAAGTATCTGGCACATAGTAGGTGCTTAATAAATTCTTGTTCCCTTCCTCTACCTCTCCCATAATTATATTCAAACCAAGGACCCAGGGCCCCGCTGTGGTTCCCAAGTGCCAAATTCACACTCCATTAAATCTCTAGCCTTTCCCAATTCTGCAATCACTCTCCAACAGACTTACAAAATCTCTGCTCCCACACCGCAATCACTGACTCCCTCCAAGATGCCACACTCCCATGCGGCTCCCAAGCCAGCCTCTCAAACCACCAATAAACATCTACCAACCCCAAGGCTACTTCCTTTTTAAAAAAAAAAAAAAGATCTAAGATTTCATCAGTGCAGGGAGTTTCTGGTAAGGAACTTCCTCCATTAAGCTCTGCAATTTATAGTCTCAGAGAGCTGCTTGGGAGTTTGGGGGTGGCGAGGTACTGAGACAGGCTGAGTGAATTGCCCAGGGCAACACAGTCATTACCTGGCAGGAGTCGGATTGAAACCTAGGTCTTCCTGACTCAGAGGCCCCACTGCTTCCTCATCCTCCACAATACCACCCGTAACCCCCTACACGAATTGCAGGCACTTCCTTCCCTTTGCATCTGCCCCCACTTGGTTGGAGATGAGAAGGGAATCTTCCATGACACAGCAGGCACCTGTAAAGTTTCTCTCTCCAGATCTTGTCCTCCCCCTCCTCTGGGAAGAGAGGATTCCAACCTTACCTCTTTGCCTGCCGCAGAGAGGAAACAGACAGTGAGGTTCCCACTGGGCTGATAGGTCTGCTTGATGAAAGGCCCTGATTTCTTGTGAGTGCTTTCTTTCTGCAGATGGATAGAGCTCAGACCTGAAGTCAGAAAGACCTGAGTTAAAATCCTGATTCATTCATCATCATCAAATAATGATTCATTATACACTCTAGGTGTGTAATCTGAGCGAGTCACTTAAACTTTCTCAGCTTTAGTTTCCTCATTTGTAAAAAGAAGAGAGCTAGAAACAATGACCTGAGGTCCCTTTCAGGTCTTACTTAGATGAGAGAGTAAAGATGAAAGTAAGCCCAACACTTCTTTCAGGCCTCCCTTCTTGCTAAGGCCTATACCCATCCCCTCACCCTGAGCCAAGGTGGAGGCCTGAATTTAAGGGCCTTTTCCATCAGGGTCTGCCTTACTCTGATATATCTGTGGATCTGCTGTTTCCCAAACCCAGGCCCTTAGCCTGGGTAATTGCAGCCCCCTCTTGTTGATCTTGACTTCATGCAACCTATATGGTAATAGAATCACACAAAGGGTCTCAGGCCCAACCCTCCGAGCCCATGAGGAGGGGTATCATCCAGCTCTGTGACCCCAGAAGGGACGACCTGGCCGTATATCAGAAACAGGCCTGGGCAGGCCTATCAGAGCCCTACTTTGGGGAATTTTGGGTGCTGCTGGAGCTGTTTGTCCAATCTATCCTATTAATCCACAAACTCTTTGTATCCTGAACTTAGGCCACATGCCCTGGGAATCTACACCATGGCTTGCCTTGGACTGCCAAGTCTGGGAAGTTTACCTGGGCCAGGGAGAGCTCGGCTGCATAGGTTCAGGACTACCTTTCCCTCCATCCTCTGAGACTTCTGACTGCCCTGTCTTCTGATTCAGTCTTTTGTTTGGAAGGTCAGGCCCAAGCCCATGTTCATCAGGTCTGTCAGGTTGTCCAGAAAAGGGCACCCTGAAAGCACACTTAGAGCTCTTCATTTAAGTCCTTCTTAAAAATCTCCAACAAGACTTCCTCTATCCCCTTTACCCCAAAAAATGGCTCTTAAAATGAGTCTGCCATGCGGTCCAGCAAGGATGTCTCATACTCCCTAAAAGTTAGCATTGCAACTACAGCAATCCACGTCCAAATGAGTGAGCTAAACATCACCCAGAAATCTGTCTCAAAGAGGTGGCAACTTCCCAGCAACGGATTATCTTTCCCCCAAGTCACCACGCAGCACCTTTCAGCCTGCCAAGGGAGAACCCCGCCCTCTGCTGCCCAGCCAAAAAAAGTGTAGGACTGTATTATGGACACTAGATGGCACTGCTCTCAGAAAAGCCAGAGTATTCTCTGCTCCCAGGGAAAACTAGGCAGGTCTCTAATTACTGGCTTCTGTGGCAATTACCACCAAAAGATTTAGAGCAATTCTGTTGCATCAAGAGCTTAATGAAAATGGGGGGGGGGGGAATGTAATAAGTAGAATTATAAAAAAACACAGTCTTAGCCTTAAAAAAAAAAAAAGCTTAACTATGAGGCTTAGATCTCGCAAGGCCGACCCCCAAAATAGGTACCAACCCATCCAAGCTTACGGGGAAGGGAGTAATAACCAACCCTTCTTTTAAACATTTCCTTCTCTTCCATTCTTAAACCCTGAGCATTCTTGTTCCTTCCTGATGCTACTAGCCCCCCTTTACACCCTCTCCCCTTTATTATTTGGGTGCTTACAGTGATGGGGCTGGATGGGATGAGATGATAGGGAGGAGGAATTACTCTGTTAGCCTTCCTCTGATTCTTTTAATATTTGGAGGATATTCTGGTTGTCCACTGTTATTCCTCAGTCTTGTTAAATGACCAGCCCTCCTCCTTTTTCTGATCACACTAGTCCTGGATGATTAATTCTATGCCAGTGGTCACATATAAGGAGAGAGCCAACATAGTGAAATGTGTATAGAGCCAGCATCAGAGTCAGGAAGACATAGGTTCAGGTCCTGCCTCTTACATATACTGGCTGTGTGACCATGGACAAGTCATGTAAACAACTCTGTGAGTCTACAAGTTGCAGAGAAAATACAGTTCTCTAATCAGTAGAGGGAGTTTCCTCACCTGGAAGATCCCTAAACCGGTAAAATCACAGGTTTGCTCCAAATA